ACATGCGTCCCCACCCTTGATGCCACCGCAGTGACCTCATCCCTGATGCCGTCCCCACGCCCCCTCGGTGTCCCCACCCCTGATGCCCCCTCGGTGTCCCCAGGGCTGGACGGGCTGATGGAGCGCTGCGCCCAGTACAAGAAGGACGGGGCTGACTTCGCCAAGTGGCGCTGTGTCCTCAAGATCTCCGAGCACACGCCCACGCGCCTGGCCGTGATGGAGAACGCCAACGTCCTCGCCCGCTACGCCAGCATCTGCCAGCAGGTCCCTGTCCCCTCCCTGCTGTCCTCCTTGTCCCCAGCCCCGTCCCTGTGTCACCTCTGGGTACCTTGTGGTGGTTGGTGGCCTCCAAGCTGCAGGGTGATGCGGTGTGGTGGTAGCTAGACGTAGCGTGGTGGCACCTCCGTGTCCTTGGGTCAGCGTGTCCTTACCGATCCCGTGTCACCTCGCTGTCCCCAGCCCCATGCCTGTGTCCCCCCTGGGTGTCCCGTGGTGCTTGGTGGCCTCCCAGCTTCAGTGGGCGTCACCAGACGTGGCACGGTGATGCGAGGTGATGCAATGTCACCTCCACGTCCCCTCCTGCCACCCCAGGGCACCTGGGCCACCTCCCACCATGCCGTGCCCTGGCCACCACCATGTCCCCGTCCCCGCGTCCCCTCCTGGTCACCATGGGGTGGCCCTGTCCCCAACGTTCCTCGTGTCCCCACAGAACGGCATCGTCCCCATCGTGGAGCCCGAGATCCTCCCGGATGGTGACCACGACCTGAAGCACTGCCAGTACGTGACCGAGAAGGTGGGTGACTTCCCCAACGTGTCCCCAACGTGTCCCCACCGCATCCCTGCCGTGTCCCCCCCAATGTCCCCTTGTCCCCAGGTGCTGGCAGCTGTCTACAAGGCGCTGAGCGACCACCACGTCTACCTGGAGGGGACGCTGCTGAAGCCCAACATGGTGACACCTGGCCACGCCTGCACCAAGAAGTACACCCCCGAGGAGATCGCCATGGCCACCGTCACCGCCCTGCGCCGCACTGTGCCCCCCGCCGTCCCCGGTCAGTGCCACCTGGACCCTGTCCCCATGGCGGTGTCCTCATGGTGTCCCCATCCCCACAGCCATGTCCCCGTGGTGTCCCCACCTCCATGGCGGTGTCCCCGTGGTGTCCCCATCCCCATGGCTATGTCCTCGTAGTGTCTCATCCCCATGGTTGTGTCCCCACCTCCATGGCTGTGTCCCAGTGGTGTCCCCACAATCATGTCCCCATCCCCATAACCATGTCCCCATCCCCACAACCACCTCCCCACGGTGTCCCCATCCCCACAACCACGTCCCTCTGTGTCCCCATCCCCTTGGCCACCTCCCCACGGGGTCCCCATCCCCACGGCCACGTCCCCGTCCCCACGGGTGACCTCCCGTACGCTGTCCCCACGTCCCCAGGCATCACGTTCCTGTCTGGAGGTCAGAGCGAGGAGGAGGCGTCCCTCAACCTCAACGCCATCAACCGTTGTCCCCTGGCGCGACCGTGGGCCCTGACCTTCTCCTACGGGCGGGCGCTGCAGGCCTCGGCGCTGCGGGCCTGGGCCGGCAAGAAGGACAACACCAAGGCGGCCCAGGAGGAGTACGTCAAGAGGGCTCTGGTAGGTCAC